ACTTTTCATCGCATTCCAATTTCGTATAGCATTACAATCAGCATCACGATAGTATAGAAGACGGCATCCAGATTTCGGGGCAGTAACAGAACCCTGCATTTCGGCAGCTGTCCGCGGGCCTCGACCGATCGGGATCCCGCTGGTTTGGGTCACCAAGAAAGATTCAGGAATACATTTGACGTTTGAGGTTCACGTTTTTACGTTTCTGCCTGCAGATTGATGCAATTTCAAAAGCCGATGGCGCAATTTGGATCTCGACCCATGGCCTCCACGGTTCCTGAGCGGGTGGCAGCCGTATCCCGACCTCAGCTGAAGACAAGGTTGAATTACGGGTACCGTGACTGGAAGATCAAAAGGGACGCAAACATCCCACGTTGGTATAGTTTCCATGTGTCATTGTGTTTCTTTTAGTGGTTGAAGACTCAGACTCTTTGGCTCTTAATCAAGTTGTCGATGGTCTGTCTTTACTCTCGTAGGCTCTCAATCACTGCTACATCTTCGAATACATGGCTGCGATGACGATCCTTCGAGTCTCATGGCCAAGAGCACGGAGTACAGGCAGCGCACACTGAAGATGGACTGATAGGTACATGTTCATACTCCAGATGTCCAGCAAAATTCTAGGACGGCACGGATGTGGCCCGACGGTGCCACCACCACCCACCTCAAGCCCACCCTGCTCGTTGCATGCAGCATCCTGGGAATGCTGACGGGCTAATGCAGAACCAGAGGACGGCGGGGGGGGGGGGGGGGGGCACCACCGTTGAAGCGTTGAAAGATGTGAGTGTCTGGGGCGTTCCCCCCCTCCCCCCCAGTTTCGAGTCCAAAGTCTTTCCATTGCTACTCTCAGAGCTCTCCACGCCCCAAGCTCTGACTCAGACTGAGTGAGTAAACATCAACTGGTTGCTCAGTGTGGAGTCCTAGAATGTTCATTCGATGAAAGCTCAGTGTGCTTTGGTCTCCTGGGAACACACAGATGGGGCGACTATTGATGAGAGTCTCATGTCTCAAGTATCAGCCAGATATCCGTCTCCCCCGTCATCGCCGCCCTGCCAAGCTTCATGTTCCCGCGTGCCGAGCAAGTGCCTCATCTCTTGGCCATCTCTTGACAATCTCTTGGACTTTTCCCGCTCAGAGGACGCTGGCTACTTGGCGCTGGCACAAATCCTCCGAGTAAACACGCACCCACCAAGTTACCAAGTTCACGCCCATACTAGTCTGTTAGTAGGAGATGAGGCACCACTTCACCAGTGACCAGGATTGGGGGGCACTGGGGGCTGACGAGGGACGACGTCACTAGCTCGAGCAAGCTTTTCTGGTGGCGCATCTTCCGATGCTTGTCTTTGCTTGTTCCCTTTTGGCATTTTGCTTGTCTCTTGTCGATCGCTGGCGTCGCTCAATTGGCTCTTCAACGACATTTGAGTCTCTCGAGGGCTGAACCGGTGCCCGGCGGCGCCGCGGTCGTAAGAAACGTTCGTTCTACTCGGCCCGCTAGAGGGTTTAGATTGCTCTTGGTTCGCCCACTCTGTTTCTCGCAGTGTCCAATGCTATCTCTTGAACGACATCTTTATGGGGACAGCAACATGTCCGCCTCTTTGCGGATACACTACTGCAGATACCGGCAAGGTTAAGCACAAGCTATTAGGTAGGTACCTCCAGCAGTCTTTCCGAGCCGCGAAGCCATCCGCGATCCAATGCCCCTTTGAGAGAAGCGCTGCTGTTGGTTCGACGTCTTCCCCATATCCTACAATGACGTGCTCCGCGAGCCTGGGCCGGATTGTGATCCCTTTCGACGCCTCTGCCCTCTGTGTTCTCAAGACTTTGAGAGGCTCTGCAATCTCTGACCGGGGCGGAACTTTGTGTGAGTTCCACCCACGCACGGGGGGAGGGAGACCCTTCTCCTCCCCTTGTTCCTCTGCACGCTTTCAACTTTCCTGCCTGCATTGGCTCGTTTCTGCCTGGGGGGATGTCCGCTGGCGGGTATCGTAATCTCTAGCGGACGTTGTCGAGACTCGACCAACTTTGCCATGGTCAGAATAAGTCGATGGACAGGCAAAAGTGACATGGCAATCCACCTGCTTTGCAGTGTTTCTTCAGGTATTGCCATCATCCTTGACAAGGCGAAAACCTACCATACAGATATGTACTCCCATCTCTATGGATACTACTTGCCACCATCCACGCTTCCTCCTCTGTCGTTGCTGCTTCTACCGCAGTACTGCGTCTACTGCGTCTACTACTGCAAGTGGCATGCAACAAGTTCCTCCCATCGCTCCCTCCGGCCCAGTTTACACTCCTGGCTCGCAAGGAACCCGCGTCCGTAGCTCCAGCCCTTCGGCCGTTCCCAACTTCCCATGTCACCACGCCATGCCGCGTCTTCCCAACTGCCGGGATCAAAGATGCTGACGCCTGGCTAAGCTTATCTTTTTCCTTTTCACCTGTGTCCCGTAGCTGCTCTCCTCCTCTTCCTTCTCCTCCTCCTCTTAAACTCGCACGTCCCACGTGCTCGCACATTCTTTCCGTCATCTTGTGCCTGGAGTCTGTTCCGAACTCTACCTCCCTTCTGTTCTCGTCCCTGCGCCTCGTCCCTCCTCTTCTACCTGACTCCACCGTCTCTTCTCTTCTTCATCCGCCCCGTCAGCGTCTGTGATCCCTCCCACCACTTCGTCACAGCAGTATAACATTACGCCATTGTCATCGATATCACCTACCGTAACGCGAAAACCCCGACGCCTCTCTTCTTCTTCTTCTTCTTCTTCTTCTTCTTCTTCTTCTTCTTCTTCTTCTTCTTCTTCTCTCTCCTCTCCCAACGTCGTCCGGCGCACCGCCGCGACTCAATTGGCGCGCGCCATGGATAAAGATCTACGCCAACCCGAGCCCACGTCCAACGACAAGGGCTCCTCCGAGCTCGCCTTTGCCCGCGCCGATGCCGAGACGGGCGGCTCCTCCGGCTTCAGCGCCTGGTTCGGCGGCCGCAACACAAAGGTCGGGCCGCGAATTGCGCCTCGCAAGGAGGGCGTCGGAGAGGGCTCCGATAGCGAGGATAGCGCCGATGCCATCCTGACCAAGCAGCTTGCGGAGGAGAATAGCCATGCGATCAAGTACAGGACGTGCAGCTGGCAGAAGACGGCCGGTTTGCTGTTTTCCGAATACATTTGTCTGGTGAGCTTTCCGTCTTTGCGACGATCTGGCGCATGGCGCATCGTGCTGACCGGTACAGGCCATCATGAGTTTTCCGTCGTCATACAGTATTCTTGGACTAGTGCCTGGTTTGATCCTCACTGCCGTCATCGCGCTCGTTGTTCTCTACACGTAGGCTCCTACCGTCTCGCCCAGGTCGCCTCGACATAATACTGACCGCCCGTGTAGATCTTTGGTCCTTTGGCAATTCTGCATGAGACACCCTGAAGTTCGCGACGTCTGCGATATCGGCCAGATGCTCTTCTGGGGAAAGACATGGGCATGGTACGCTACGGCTGTCATGTTCATCCTGAACAACACTGTAAGCCTCCTATTACCATCGCCGACATGGGCGCATTGCTAATAATGCGCAGTTCATCCAGGCCTTGCACGTCCTCGTCGGCGCCAAGTACCTCAACACAATGACCGAATCCGACCCCGTCGTCTGCAGAACCGTCGTCTTCTCCATCGTTGTTACCATCATCTGCTGGCTCTGTTCGCTACCTCGCACCTTTGATGCGCTTTCGAAAGCCGGAACTGCCTCCGCGGCCTTCACCTTCATCTCAGTGCTTCTGGCAACCATTTTTGCTGGCATCCAGGCGCACCCCGCCGGCTACGACCCCCGATCAACATATGTCGATGAGACCACTGGCACGACCAAGGCTGGCGGTGCCCCGATGGTCACAGCCATTCCCATTGCTGCCACCACCTTCGTTTCCGGAATGAATGCCTTCCTGAACATCAGTTACACTTTCATCGGCCAGATCACGTTGCCCAGTTTCATTGCGGAGATGAAAGACCCGAGGTAAGACTACAATAACGTTGTCTTCGAGATATTTGCTAAGCCAAGGCTAGGGACTTCCCCAAGGCCCTCTGGGCCGTTACAATTGGCGAGATCATCGTCTTCAGCATTGTCGGAGCTGTTGTCTACGCCTTCGTTGGAAACCAGTACATGACTGCGCCCGCCTTTGGATCCCTCGAAGAAGTCTACAAGAAGGTGTCCTTCTCCTTCATGATCCCAACCTTGGTCTTCCTCGGCGTCTTGTACGCCAGTGTTTCGGCCAGGTTCCTCTTCTTCCGCCTCTTCAAGGGCACCAAGCACTTGCACGAGCACACCGTTGTTGGCTGGGCTTCTTGGGCCACCATTCTCCTTGCTCTATGGCTTCTGGCATTCTTGATCGCCGAACTTATTCCTTTCTTCTCTTCTCGTGAGTTTTACTGAGCCCGTGATGCAGAAGCTTGACTGACTAGATCTAGTGCTTTCACTCATGTCCTCGTTGTTCGACTCATTCTTTGGCTTCATCTTCTGGGGCGTTGCCTACTTCCGCATGCGAGGCGCCGACAATCGCGCCGGTGTCCCCAAGCCCGGAAAGCTTGCCGATCTCGCGACGATGGGTCTCAACGTCATTATCATTCTCACCGGTCTTTTGTTCCTTACCGCCGGCACATACGCCAGTGTTGAAGGCATCATTGAAGAGTTTAGAGCGGGGACCGTTGGCAAGCCTTTCGGCTGTGCCAGTAATGGACTTTAAACAGGGCCCAGCATCAATTGACCTCGTGCTTTGCGGTATCAGCACAGACTTGGAGCATCGCCACATGGCTCGTAATCGGAACCATTGGAGGCGGAGGAGAACTAAAGCAAAGATACCATAGTGTTTACTACCACGTCCATGTTGTCTACGAATAGACCAAGACGCATTTTCCATGACCCATCTTTCGAATCTCTTCGCAGCAAAAGCCCATTCTAAATGAGTTCTGCTAGGGGGGCTGTGTCCCACTTTCTCGAACTCATCCGACCAATGAGAGGCCAGTGATTCACTTGGCCCGATACCCAACTTCAGCTCTGCATCTTTCACATTAACCAGAATGTCTCTCTTAACGTCAAAAGGAAGTGGAAGGGGCCTGGAGGGCTAATCAACGAGCTCGACGTCACTCGTAATAGGGAGGCCGCAGAGGATGAGGCCATTCAGAACCTCAACGATCGAGCCCGTGCCAACGAGGCCCTCAGCTGCGGCCAGCAGCCTCAGGAGATTCCTCACATACCTACCGGCTTCTGTCAACTGTGGGCTTACGTTATGTATGCCAATACTGAGGACGACTTTGACGCTGCCTGGGACCGCCTGTTGGAAGAGTTTGCCGACCAAGACTTAGCTCTGAAGTACATCACAGACACCTACCTTCTACTGCGATATTAATGGGCCAACTGCTTCATCTCCCGGTATGAGAACTTCGGCGTCAGGACCAATAGTCCCACCGAGACTGCCTACAAGGATCTGAAGTCGTATGTCATCAACGGTAACTCCGACTTATACGCCGTCGCCTAGGTATGATGATGATGATGATGTATTTAACGTCTGGTAACAAAAGGACGTGCCGGGCGCTATGCCGACATGGTCTATGCTAATCTAAACTATGTTACAGGCTACCGTCTTCACCTAACGTTCCTGTTCAATGACTCGGGCAAATTTCGGAAAAGACATTGGTCTCCTCTATCCATTCGCATAGAAGAGAGGCTCCCTTAGCAGAACCTAACAAGAAATCAATGCTTGCTTTGGCCAGCCGTCGCCTAGGTAATTGAGGAGATGCTGCGCAATAAGTGTGGCAGGTGCAGGTGGGTCACGTGAGGCAGCTCCTTCACATCTCGGAGCTGCCCCACCTACACCTTGCCCAGATATCCAGCCCAGCCAGCGCTCAGCTTTTCCCATGATCATCATCAGATCCAATACAGTAGTATTGCCTCCACAATAAGGCCCGTACTTATAGGGAGAGGGTGGCGGTAATGGAGTCTCGTACTCGCTATGAGTACCTCCGCCGTGACTGGCTTGAGACCGTCTCCAAGGAGGTTGGCCTGAAAGCACTGAGAAGACCCTGCCGTTGTTACTACTCTGCGTGGGCGCCCGAAGAACAAGAACATCGCCTACTACGGCACCTTGCCGACCCCTTCCTCCTCAGGGGCACCCACCTCCTCAGCAGCACCAGGCCGGCTAACGGCGAGGGCACCTAGACAACCTCGCAGAGCTCAGTACCCAGCATCGCGACCAGTTAGGCAGAATATACGCCATAATCGGTCAGCATTCAAGTACGACGACGAGGACGAGTTGGCCTCGCAGAGCACGCAGTCGACCATAATAGTAGGCGGAAGTCAAGTAGTAGAAGTTAAAGAAGCCCAGCGACCAGCAGCAAAGAGACGAAGTAAACGACTTCAAGCTCCTCCAGCCTCAACGGCGCCAGCACAGCTATAGCTCCGGCGACTCAATTGGCCAATCAGAGGCCGTAGTTAAGGCAGTTTTAATAAAAATTAACAGAAATCGAGATTCGTCAAGATCTCTCGATTACCGCAATAAAAGCCAAAGAATTTTCGAATTACACAAGTTTACGTAAGCCGGGTCTGCGCGAGGCTAGCAATGGAAGGCTGGAACCAATTGCCTGCCATAGTTAGTCGAGAAAATCGCGATTATCCCATTGGCCAGAAAACGTGGGACACAGCCCCCCCAGCCAACTGACACAGCCCCCCTAGCAGAACTCTTCTAAATACCCGATTTCTCATTGCAGGACCGTGGAGTTTCCTGATTTGCGTTTCAACCGGCAATGCTGTCATTTCAACCATGCTCATAACGGCAAGGTCGTCAAACGAACGAAACAATCATGGGGCTCCCTCGTCAACTTATCGTAAGCCCCAGTCGTGTTGAGTTCCTGCGGAAGCTCTTGGAGGTGAAAGTTCCACAGCAGAAGCACCACCAGCATCCGAAACTGCACATATGCCAGCTTCCGCCCGTAACATCCCCGAGGACCCTTGCTGAAGATCATATTCCGACCACGCCTCGCGTCAAAAATGTCTCTCGTGCCATCTTCAGACCTCACGAGCCATCTCTCAGGCGCATACGTCGCCGTATCGATGCCCGAGACGTCACCCCAATGCCCATCGCCAGCGCCCCCGGCGTCCGCAGCGCCTCGTCAACGAGAAACCCAGGCATCGTGCAATCCGCCCGATTCCACACCTGGAAGACGACGGTGTCCTTGGGCACGGCGAAGCCTAGGATCTGCGTATCCTGCGTCGCGCCGCGCACGCACATTGGCGCCGTCAGTGATACGCGGAAGAGCTCTTCTATGCTGGCGTCTAGGGAAGGGCACCGCGCCTGCATGATTTCCTGGGGGGTGGGGACGCGTTTGCTGGTGACGGCGTCGGGGAGGGCGTCGCGGAGGCTGGCGCGGAGTTTGGATTGTTGGTTTTGGTGGCGGGCTAGGGTTTTGAGTGCCCATTGGTTCGCGTTTGATGTTGATTCGTGGCCGCCTAGGGTGAAGCCGTAGAGCTGGGGATTCATGTCAGCTTCTTGCTTCTTGTTCTGGGTCGGATTTTAGTTCTCACCTCATCGTAGAATAGTCGTGTGTGGAAGGATGGCTGGCGTTGGTCCTTTTCTGCCTGGCTGCTTTCTCTACGCACCATCTCGTCTACCGCACAGCGTACTACGTGGTCCTCCGATGTAGACTGGACTCTGGCGGCGGATAAATCGACTTGTTCCCTTAGCAGGTCTTCTTTGATTTTAATTGCCGTCTTCAAAGCATGCCTCTGGCGCAAAAACCAATGCGCTAGGACCGGGAATGCAGACTTCATCGCCACCTCGAGACTATCCGATATCTTGAACAAGGCTTCAATGACGGGGCTGGGAGGCGCCTGTGGGAACACCGCCGGCTGGTTCACATCTATGCTCTCTCCTTTTCCAGAAAAAGGCAGTGAAGACATGGCCGAAAGAAAGTCGACGTTCGGCTGCGTCGCGCTGAGACCCTCCATCCCCGGACCAAAGGTAAAGCCCAGCACCGCATCCAATGCACAATGGCTGACATCCTTCAACGCACTAAACGGTCGTCCCCTCTCCAGCCTCGCCTTCTCTCGCCACAGGGCCGTCATACGCATCGTACTCTCATGCAACAACGGCGCGGCAACCTTCCCAAGGAAGCTCGGCGTCAGAATATCACCCACAAGCCTCTTACGACTCTTGTACTCCTCATCCGTCTGCCAACGACTATGATGCTCGGGGATCACGCCGCCTAGCAAATCGGCAGTGAATGCGGATCTGTCAAATTCTTTCCCGCGGTGGAGGAGGATATCCTGCGTTTCGCGGAAGTCTGAGATGACGAGCCAGGGTTTGCTTAGGGGCCCGCGGCCAAAGACTTGAACGACGGGAGAGGCGTGCTTGATGTTTTGCGCAGCGAGCCAGTCGTACATTTCGCCTGTTTTGTTGGCGTGGCGAATCATTGCTGGCATGTCGCCTAGGAGGGAGCGCGATGCTTCTTTGTTGTAGGGGATGCCTGGGATTGGGGAGGAGAGGAGGGCGCGGTAGAGGAGGTAGGCTGCGAGAATGGCGATGGCTAGGGTTGCCGTGTTGGCTGTGAACTTTGGCAACATGTTGGGGTTCTCCATGATGGCGCAGAGTTGCTTTGGTTCTGGTTCTGACACTTGATGTCAGAGTGGTATGTTCAGGCTAGGTGCTATGAGTTGGTGACATTGAGGCTGGAAAATCGGTAGAAGAGGGCGGAAGTTCTAACTCCTTGCTAGTTTCCTAGCCACTCAAGTGAAGGTTGATGGCCTTAACGTAGACCTTAGAAATCTGACTCAAGATGGCTCAGTGTAAAAGGAGCTCATGATCCATCACCATGTTTGCTTATCCTGTTCGCTACATCTTCCCTCAACTAGATATTTCATCTTCTCTACAAACCGAGTCCCAGGTTGGGTCTTCAACTTTCTTAAAAATGCCCAAGCGAGGCTTTCCTGTATCACAGCCTCGATGAGTACGAGTGTCTCGCGATCAACAGGCTTTGCCCACTTTTGACGGATGCTCGAGTGCGACTCGCAGGCTCAGGTCACTAATCCGACCCGAAACCGGACCCCATCCGGCTGTCTTCTTCATCTGTGCGGCCCACCCTTTGCCATGCCGTCCACGCTGCTCGGATTCCCCATCCTTCTCCGGGAGGTCTTTCGTACGCTCAAAGTGCTTCTCTGGAACATTCGATGTAATAGGAATGGTTCATATTCCCCGCTCATATTGCCTGTGGTAGCAGAAACCGGTTTGCTTTGAAATTACGCCTGATCTTCGTCTCAAGGCCTGTAGCTTTCCACGGCACGTGAAGCTCGCGTAGCCGTTACTTCAGGCTTGAGGCTAAACTTTCCATGTCGCCAGTCTGGAACAGGAATCCTGGATGTGGCACTGTTTTCGGCAAATAGCTATGGTTTCGAGTTGTAAGGCTGAAGAACCGGGTTGGAAACTCCCGCCTCACACACTTAGCAGCTCGGGGCGCATAGAGAGTCACGATTTGATATTGAGCATATAAACTTTGGTTCTGTTAAGCTTGAGATATCAAGACACTAATCCAGCAAATGCCGTTGCTTCATGGCCGCAGGTCCAACGAGTTTGCCATCCCCATCCCGCTCATCCCCTACGGAAAATGTCATTGTATTGTAGTACATGGTGACATAAGGCCCATCCTTTTTATATGATAGACCGACATAGGAATGCCGTCCGATGGTATTGGAGAAATCCTGCTTTCGGCTAACACCCTAGTTAGCTTTTTATCTCAAACAAGACTTGCCTAAACCTGATGTGACTGGCATAGACATGACTGGCATAATGTTCGCGGGGATACCTTACAAGGCCTTCTGCACTTCATCGACATATGTGTCAGCCAGATCCGGGAATCCACACGCCCGGAAGAAGTTGCTCAATGACTGAGCGATACGCAAGTCCGTCCCTCCGTAGTGTCGTACGGGGATGTACACCTTTGGCACAGGAACGAGGCGGTCGTGCATGAGCTCCATGTTGAAAATGATACCCGCCGTTCGATGCGAGCTGTGAGCGAGATCCTCTTCCGGCGCGGTGAGACCGAGGACGTGCATGTAGAACGATCGGATCAAGTCTACGCCTGCATCAATCTCTGCACCTTGGAGAGTGCCACCTAGCGTGTAGACCTCTTCAACTCGTGCTAGACACGTCTCCTTGGTACGTAGATAGATCTTGAAGCGCGCATCGGTTGGGCGGATGGCATCGAAGGCGATCAATTCCAGTCGGAGGATGGCTTCGTTGTTAGGCTGCTTCTCATAACTACTGATAGACAAAGCCGCGAATGTAGTTGAAGGACGGCGCTAGATTGAGCGGTAGCTGAGCAATGACATCGGTGATGAGCTCGCCGGCGTAGTTATTCTGCAGCAGAGAGATGGGAATGGGATAGAAGTAAACCTTTGGCGCTGGCTGTTCACCCTCCAAGTCGAATGAGATGGTATTTGTCGTCATGTGTTCGTTCGGCGCCATCTTGGACACAATGTCGTTGGCGTACTTTGCCTCAACGTGCAAGTGCTTCTTGAAGAACTCCCACAGCTCGCCGTCAACTGGACCTCTCCCTTGTCGTAGGAGCCTTGACATAACCACCTCGGGCTCATCTTGATTGAAGGGGTCTTTTGAGGTCCCCGCGAAAGGTCCGATGGGCTCTGATCCCACTCTGATTTTGGATCCCTTTAGTCCGACGTTCCAACTCAGCTCCGCTGGTGGGAAGTCATCGGAACAGAAGCTGTCAAAGTGAGGGAGGCGGGTGCCCAGTTTGGTGCTGATTGGACGTGGGCCTAGCGACGAGACCACGAATTGCTTAACAAACTCGGAATACTGGTCTCGAGCTTCAATGGAGTAACCCGCACTCTGCATTAGAGAGTAAAGAATGTGATATTTCATCCCACCAGAACTCTGAATCTTCCTGATTTTGAGCCGAGGCGGGGCTAAGTGTTGCTGCTACCATTTTGATAGGTGGATGTTGTATTTTAGAATCTGCTTGTCTTGAACGGAGAAGTAAGTACTCAACATAATACACAACAACACATAGGAAACTCAGAGTGAAATTTCTTTTATATCTACACATGCAGACACAAACCCACACGTAGCAAGGCCCTAGATATTCATGCTCCAAACGATTCAAGGCTGAAGCGAGAGAGATTAAACGCCCCATCACGGAGTACCGGCCGAATGAAACAAAAGAACATTATTGAAAGAATCCTGTGTTCAACTGTTTAGCATAGTCGCTTAGTAGCTTCGGGGCGTTGCGAGACCGTGGAGCCCGGCTGAGAAGGCCTGGAATTTCGCAAGTCTCGGATCTCACCCATTCTGGGCAATCTGGCTCACAACAACTTTCGAAGATCAGGGACTTACCTCCGAAGGGGGGTTCAGAACTCACCAAGATAGAAAATTTGATCGTCTATACACCACCATCCCGAGCTCGTCGTCTTTTGAAGCAAGTTGTTGCAAGCTCGAGCCTCAAAATCATCGGTCGAATCAGATCAACGTGGTCGGACGGTCCGCCCCGGATACGAGCAGAAGGTTTACGACGAAGCCGGGGAGCATGAGCCGCCAGACATGGGGAAATAGAATTCCCCTTGGGACGGTCTGCCATGCTTTGTCTGAAAAGCCCATACTTCCGCTCCCACCCTTTCGCGTTCGGCTATTCACAGCTCCGCGGAGAATTGAGATCAAGGCGTAGGCATCGGCAAAGCTTGTTGCCAGGATATTTGGGCGTCTACGTTTAGTTCTTTATCCTTGTTCTGCGCGCATGTGAGAGTCAGTCCCGAAGCTTTTCAGACCTCGTCCTCTCACTCCACCTACTTTCTTCCTTCCATACCTTAGCTCGGCACCCTAATCGTTTCCAAAACCTCATTCAAGTCGTAGTATTGAGACCTAGTTTGAAGATGGACTCCACCACTGTCCCGCTGCACTGGTTCCCGCAACTAGCGAGCCTGCTGACTCCTTACTCGGCATTAGCCGTTGTCGTGGTTCTCGTCACAATCCTCCCCATGGTCATGGACCGGGCCACCCCAGAGATTTCTATACCTAAAGTCACGAGCTCAAATTCGTGGTTCGCAAGCAGGCAGGACTTCGCCGCGCATGGCGTTGAGATCATCGAGAAAGGTTTCAAACAGGTTAAGAGTGGTGTATTTCGGGTGACCGCTCTCGATGGTGTGTCCATTCTGAGCAAAACGCTCGTCGCAAGTAAAAACGGACTATCTGGTGTCTGACGAGATCCCAGGCTCCGATTTGGTTTTGATTGCACCAGAACATTGGCTTGCAATATGCAAGAAGAAGGACGAGGAGGTTGCGCCCGCTCGCAAGGAGGTTTGTCCACGAAGACGCGACTATCGACTGAGCATAACTGAAATTGCCTAGTTCTTCCTTTGCGATTTGCACGGCGCACCATTCGAAGAACCATTCCTCTATCGCTACCTTGCTTCGCGCATGCCAGGATTCGGTGCGTATCATACTCCCAGGTCCCTTCGTAAGATTGCGTCCCTGTAACTAACAACGACCTCTGGTGCAAGACCGTTATCTCGACGTCATATCTACAGCGTTGGATGAGGGTATATCTAGTGTCTTCAATCAATCGTCCCATGGTTCGAAAAAGGGTAGGCTTTTCAATCAGTAGTCTTTTCTTTACAATCTTTGCAACTCCTATATCGAAACCCTTACTAACGCTAGTCTTCGAAAGCATCCAAGCGAGTTATCATGCAGCCGCAGATTCTTCACATCTATTCACATGTTATATGGAGGGTCATTCTAGGGGACAGATTCAAGTCTGAGGTGGTCGACATCTTCAAAAAGTACTCCGCAACACTAATCCCCGTGATGAAAACACTCAAGGCCCAACGACCCATGATGGCTCGAATCTCCGCCGCCTTTTCGAAGGACGTCCGCCAAGTCAACTTGCAGCTTGAACAAGCCGCTGCGTTCTTTACACCCCTATTGGAGCAATGCGTACATGCCCTCGAGGAGGGACTACCGAAGAGCCCCATAGACAATGATTGGCTTGAGGAGTTGACTCGCATGGCGCCCGCCGAGAAGCGACGCGACTACAAGTACCTCACTAATATTCTCATCGGCTTCGCCTTCACATTTGTGTTCTCGCCGGGACCATCGACTACGCAAGTTGTGTACGAGTTCGCCTTCCGTCCTGACTACGTCGACCTCGTGCTTAAGGAGGCATATGATATCCTTGGGGAACGCCCTGCGCATTGGGGGTTCTCGCGAGACAACCTTCACGGACTGTCCTTGTTGGACAGCTTCTGTAAGGAGACACACAAACACCATCCAACCGCTGCTTGTAAGTCTTGAACCTCGTACCTTTCGTCATTTTTACCCTTCATCGCCGCCCTTGCCAGAGAATGCACCTACCTAGAGCAAACATAGACATCAGGATCGGCTTACTGACTCTCATTCTGTTATTCAAGCCAATCTGATGAAGAAGATCCATAAGACTCAAACACTCCCCAATGGAGTAGTTTTACCAGCGGGCACGATATTCGAGGTGGTCATGGCGGCTGCTCACCTGTCCAACCCGAAACTCGAAAATCCCTCTAAGTGGAACGGACGCCGGTACCACGACCTGCGGCAGCAAATGACGACAACGATCGGTGCCAACAAGTATGACTGGGGCTCGGCGACAAAGGACGACGTGAACTTTGGCTATGCCTCACATATGTGTCCTGGTCGTTGGGCCGGCTGCTCCATCGCCAAGATGTTTCTCATTAAGCTCTTGGCCAATTATCAGATCAGTCCCGAGGAAGGGGAGACTGAGAGATATCAGGACCTTCACTCTGGCCAATATGTATGTGCCTCCCTATCAATCCTTTTCTTGCCCGTAGATAGTACAAAGATCTGACAACAGATTTTAGATTCTGCCAAACCCAACAAAACACATCATTGTCGAGCGGAGACCACGGCAATGAAAGGCATACTCGACTCTGTTTTCTATAGAGATGGCCAGCGGTGCTTGTAGCCAGCCATGCAATTTCAGAAAATGAAAAATAAACTTCTGCAATTCTCTAACAGGATTCCAGTAGGCCCTCTAGGCATCAATTTGAGTTCAGGTCTTATTTGCCAAAGCCAAACTAGACTCTGTTTGTGTTCTCAGTCCGCATGGAGTCAAATCCGATTTGGCCAACGGTCTTGTCATGACTCGTGAATAGAAGCGCCAATACCTGTCATGAAATGCCTTCACCACTGTGTGTTAATGATTTCGGAGCTGCTAGTTCATCACGGCCTACGAAAAAGCTCTCAATATCGGCTTGCACGTGTCAAACTAGCTACCACGAGATCTCAACTCTACGAAAGCTCTGCCCATCCGAGCTTTCCAAACGATGCTTGAGTTTGCTGATCAACCCGGGGCAGATAATGCGGAGAAATGACGCAAGAGCTAGGATTACCGGCCCTTGTCCCTGCAAATCTCCAACTCCAAGGCCGGGATATCAGATGACTTTGGATGAAACGCCGGTGACGTTCCCGCAGCCCAAGCGGCGCCGCGTCTTCAACACTCCAGCCCTTTGACCGAGCCGCTAGGTCTAATTTCTTTGAACACACCACGAATAAGCTTGAAAACACCTCAAAGAGCCTCACCATCTGAGACAAACGCCTGATCAACTTGGCAATCCATTCGAAAGGCTCGAAATCATGTCCAACCGAACCATTTGCGATGTCGACACGCCGGACCCCTGGATCGTGGCCGGCAACGGCAAGTTCTATTTCACCTTTACCCTCGACAACCGCATCGAGATATGGTGCTCCAACACGCTGGAGAATTTCCACCACTGTCACAAGAGCGTCGTCTGGCAGCCGGCGCCGGGGACTCCATGGTCGGTCAACATTTGGGCACCAGAGTTGCATTACCTCAAGGGCCGGTGGTACATCTATACCTGCGGCGCGCCGCCCGGGGTCGGAAACCCGGGCCATCGGACCACGGTCCTCCGATCGTCGTCCCAGGACCCGATGGATGCCTCTGCATGGGAGTTTTTAGGACCGCTGAAGGGCATGCCGGATCACTGGTCCATTGACGCCACAGTATTCAGTCCCAACGGGCATGACTTGTACTGTTGCTGGTCAGGATGGCCTCTCGGAGATCATTCAGACACCCAGCAGGACCTGTTCTTGATTAAGCTTCGTGTCCCGGAAGAAGCCATCACAGATACACTCCTATGTATCTCAAGGGCTGAGCTTTCATGGGAGCGTCCCGATGAGGGCCGCCGTGGTGTCAACGAGGGCCCGACATGGGTCGACATCCCTAGCGTCTTCAGAGGCATCGTGTACTCGGCTGACGGAAGCTGGACCAGCGACTACAAACTCGGTCTACTGCCGCTCGTGGGGCAAAACCCTCTGGATCCGGGCGCCTGGGCTAAGCGATCGACGCCGTTGATGGTCAGTCACAAGCGGTGTGGAGGTCCGTACGGGCCGGGGCACGCCAGCTTCCTGCCAAATCCTCATGATCGAAGCCGTGTTTACTGCATCTATCACGCGACGGCGAATTATGGTGAGGGGTGGGTCAACCGGAAAGCGAGGGTGATTGATCTTGGGCCGCAGTGCTTTGGGTCTCACGCCCACTCGATATGCTGCGCGCTGGAACGTCACATCCCGAAGCACGGCCACGATCGACCGCATAAGTCATCATGTATCATGTCCTGAATTATATGTTTATATGCCAAAATGTCGCAGCGCCACACGTGGCGCTGCCGGTTACTGCCGTACGATACCGCTTTCCACAAGCCGATTACCCGTCTTGTACGGTATATAGATATGACCCTCATACGGATCTTCCACTTAGAGGAATCAAGCCACTTTCTACTATACATGTCTTCCACTTGCTACCTCGCTTTGTGATACAAAAGAATAACAAAAACCACCGCCTCATCCAAAACAACTTCAAAGCTCATCATTTCAAGTCTTCAGTACCACAAAGTCTTGCGGAAGCTTCAGAATTGAAAGTCCCAAATGCTGTTGCGACCCGTGAATGTCATTCTCCATGAAGCTGCCAGCTGAAGCTTTCTTGCCCCCTCTAAACCGGGGTATAGTCACCTTGAATGCTAGAGCTGGTTCAAAGAATCCAGTCCACACAATTTCATCCTCAGAAATACTAAGGGCATCGGCAACATGTAGAGGAGATAACAGTCCTGACTCCCGAACTGCGTTGAAGATCGACTCGGACTCAAAAATAACATCTATTGTGATCTCATAGGGACCCGCATTTTTCGAACGCAGGACCCGGGAGATATCTGAAAGCGTCTTTGGGTGGTCTACGATGCTCTCTGGACTTGAAGAGTAATCTTGTGGGCTCTTGTGGGCTTTCTTGCCATTCGTAGCCAGCCCGTCTGTCGACTGAGACTCGCCGTCCGACGGAAGAGGCTGGCTACTCTTAGGACCCTGGCCCTTTCCAAAGCGGGAGACAGAAGAGCGAAGAATGCTTGCGTTTCCCTGGCTGTCTGATGTAGTCGAGAGTCTTTCTTCACCCGGCTTGAGGTCAATGAGGTGGTACACCGAGAACTGTGCGCAGGGGCCCGTCTCAATCTCGAGTTTTCCAGCAATCCCAAATGCGAAGTTACCAGAGGTAGCTTTTTGACCTGCGTATGGCCCATGCTGTATGGCTTTTAGCAATCATCATCATTACGTATAACGGTCATCCTTACAATCAATGCAATCCTCGCTGTCGATACGAGACCCGTAGCAAGTTCTTGAGTGGGGGCAATGGCTTCCGCGATTATGAAGATTTCCCCGGGGCCCTTAGGCGTACTTTGCTCTTTGCCATATATGTGGAAGTCTAGATCCCAGTTACCGGGCACATCTTTGTGCTGCTGCTTCACATAAGCCTTGACAAGCGTGAGCAACTCGTCTAGCTGGCCGATGAGAATATCTGTGTTATGTCAGCCTCGTAACCCTGTCTACATGTATTCACTGATAGTAAAGTCCCTGAGCTCGCTGTAGACTCACGATCTTTGACACTGCCAAGAACAATGGATCGATATCCGAGAATGCGTGCAGCTTCAAGCTTGAACTGATATGGCTTCCCATCGGCGCTTGATGAGACAAACCGTGCCCCGCGCGCCCGGACGGTACGCTGATCATCGAGCTGCTCATACTGCGCCTGGTCAAGATGGAGAGCACCTCCGGGCCCTCGCAAAACGTCAGGCCTTGTATTCTCGTATAATGAATGCGCGGCTACAGATAGCGGCGTGCAGCGTGATGTGGACACAATAGGTCTGACATCGAACATGCCACTTTCGTAGACGGTGGCCACAGCACCATGAGATTTTGGTGTCGAGCACTGCCCACCACACTCCATGATCTTGCCCATGTGCAGGAAACCGCCGTGTCTTGCCTCAACTTGCTCGGAAGTAAGGCCTGTGTGTTGAAGCTTGAGCTGATACATGGAGTATGCAACATAAGGGGCAGGATCGTAAGCTCTTCCGCCGATAATGATGTCAAAGTCTGGTGTAGCTTCCATTGCGTCGACAAATGCTTCGGGTCCGATTTGTGCAACCACACGGGCTGAATCCGTGACATCTTTCGAGGTTAAGGGGGGCACACAAACCCCACAGCCGGAAATTCCGCCGGCGTTAAGTCGTTCGAGGATGATGGACTTGTCGATGCCAGAAAAGATCGAGATTGTCTTGAGGGAGTATTGTCTTATCCCATCAGCTAGTGATTGAATCTTTGGAGCACCCAGAACTTACGAGTTACTTTCTTCTGCACAAATCTCTTCAATGATCTCTTCCATCAACTTCACGTGTTCATCTGAGCCATCTCCGCCAGCGGAGCCGAAGACCAATGGAACTCGGAAGGCGTGTACGAGCTTCAGTAGCTTGGTCAAGTCTCTGACATAGGCTGAGCGAGGGCAAGTCATGGTGCCAAGGGCCAGCTTCTCTGGGCCACTGTCAGTTGACCCGGCATCTAGGACAATGGCCGTGGGAACGCCACTGGGAACGAGTTGTGCAAGTTCATTGGCGGAAGAGTCCTCGTCAAAGCCGTAACCCATGCACCCAACTGGTGTAACAATGTGGCAGAGAGGGGTGGGACTCATGCTAGGAGACTGTTGAAGTAAAGAATTCATGCTGAGGGTGTGGTGTTTGTTCGGTAGGTACTCCAACAAAGATAGAACTATTGACTTGGATGAATATCCTGGGTGTCGGGGTTCCTTGTAGAGTTAGGAAAGATGTTTGGTAATTCTTGATAACAGTTCTTGAAATATATTAGAGTCTATCCAAGATAGAAAAGCTGTCGATAGAGGCGTTGGATGCTGCTCTCATCCTCCTAAGCTTCGGCGATCCGGGGATATGGATATTCTCCGCCAGTGCAAGCGGGACATATTCAGTTTCCTACGGGAATTGAGTAAAGAATAGGATTACGACGCATTCATCTCATTGCAGCATTATGATCGAGTGTCTTCGCTACGTCTGGGACAGTAGTCAATAAGTATGTGGCTTAAACGAGCTATCCGTATCCGTGTCCGTAGGGACTGGTCATGCAGATAGGCCCATATGGAGCTTCCATTCAGAGTGGTACCGTTGGCTAGAGCCTAGAAGGATCGAAGAATACCGGCAGCTAAGGAAGTCGTGGACCTTAGAAGTTAGATCTCAGATTCTAGTCCGTTCCCGTTCCCGTAACCGTCGGAAGAAGCGCACATCGTACAGCGGCCCCGCGCCGCCTCGTTGCACGCCCCCGCATCCTCTCAGAATGCCACAATGCTTATCTTCTTATGCGGACGACGACCAGGTATGCGGACTTGGATATCTGGGATCACTACTCGAAGGATCCAAGTCCCTAATACGTGCAAAACAGTAAAGTCAAGAGCGTCGTCAACTCTATCTTGGCGATCGTCAATGATTCCGTTGGGGACTTCGTCTTTGCTGACCCGTGCTGCGCCTTGGCATGTCCTAGTCGTCAATCCTTCACAGCAATGCCACCGCAATGTTTGTTGAGAATGGTTGATGAGAATGCATAATTTGAAGATGAAGATACAGGCGTGCAGAGAGGAGTTCGGGTCCTTAAAAAGCTTCTGGTCTGCTCAAATCACAATACTGGAATTCCTAATGAAAAGGCATCACACCATCTCTAACCATTGTTCTCTCCGACCAACGCAGAATCACACTCCAGAAGGTTACGCAAACAATTGCCGGGGGATACCAGCAGAGCACACAGCAAATCATTGTCGCATCTCATTTCACTCTGCTTGGAGCTATACCTAATTCTGTCTACCCCATTCGCCCGTTTAAAGTTCTTGGCAAATATTTGCTAAGCGATGAACCCCTTTCACGATAAGATCAGCCCTGGCGACAGGGGTTCGATCACGACCAACAATATCGAGTTGACGGAGTCGCCCTCTCCGTCCTACATAACAGAGGCGAGGGGCGGACGAGAACGAGATCTTGCGCCAGGCGAAACCAGTCGCGTCCGAGACGAGTCAACGAACCCTCTCATGAAGTCAACCAGCACCGCGTCTGTCACCAATGTGCCAGATGAAGAAAAGGACCTGCCTCTTGGCCAGGCAATTCGCCAATACCCCAAGGTCGTAGCGTACTGCCTGTCGCTCACAATCGTCGTTGTCGGATGGGGTTACGCGTTGGTGATTGTCGGCTCCATCGTCGCCGTCGAGCCCTTTCAGCATGATTATGGGGAGTTGTACAAGGACAAATGGATCATTCCGTCGCTCTGGGTCTCACTCTGGTCGGCCGCGATCCCTCTCGGCATGGCCATCGGCTCCGTCTTTGCGGGATGGTATCAGGATCGTGTCGGTCGCATTTGGAGCTTGAGGACGGGCGCAATAATCTGCGCTATTGGCGTCGCGGGCATTTTCTTCTCCTACCTCCCGGCGGATATCGAGACCATGCGAGCCCTCTTCTTCGCCGGCAAGACGGTCCAGGGAATCGCTATTGGAATACTCAAAGTCACTGCCATGACGTACATCTCCGAGACAGCGCCGACGTCTCTACGTGCCTCGGCAATGGGCTTGGTACCGACGGGAAATCTCTTGGGTCAACTACTGGGGTCTATTGTCATTTTCCTCGTCAACAAAGCCCCCAATAGAACCGGATACCTTTTCGCGTTCGGTTCCCAGTGGCTTCTTGCTGTCGTCCCCTTTATTCTCTCAGTAATCATCCCCGAGACTCCAGCATATCTCGAGGAACGCGGACAATCCGATGCAGCTCTCGTGTCCTCCCGCAAACTCTACGCACCTAGAGTGGACGCCTTGAAGGTCCTGGAGAAGGTCCGGGCGAGCATCGCCGAGGAGAAGGAGGCTACTTCAGGAGCGACGTACTTGACCTGCTTCCAGGGTGTTAATACTCGACGAACGATGATTGTAATCATGGCCAACCTGCTTCCAGCGATGTTCGGTCTCGACCTTATTGCGAAGTCGAGCTACTTCTTGCAGACCATTGGCATGAAGTCGAGCACCAGTCTCATGATTCTTATCGGCGGCATTGTTGCTGGCACCTTCGCTAACGGCGTCGGTCTTTGGGTTTTGTCGAGAGTTGGACGCAGGAACGTCACTCTCATATCGATGTCAATCTCCACTATCCTCTGGATTGCTGTAGGTATCTCTGGAATATGGAGAGGACCTGCGGTCGCATACTTCACCGCCGGAGGATGCATCGCCATCATCATTGTCTGCGGTATGGGCGCATGGCCTGCCGGCTATGCCATCATGGGGGAAACAAGTTCGTTGAGGCTGCGAGCAAAGACTCAAGGTATCGGTGGCGTTGCTCAACAGGGATCATCTGTCTTGATAAACTTCCTCCTCCCTCTAGCCTACAATCCTGACGCTGGAAATTGGGGAGGGAAGACGGGCTTCATCTACGTTGGATTATGTGCTTTTGGAGTCCTGCTTTCTTGGTGTTTCTTACCAGAGATGAAGGGGCGAAGCGTGATGGAGATCGATCATATGTTCAATATCAAGCTGCCGGCGCGACAGTTTAAGAAGTGGAGAGGTGATGCTCAGTCAAGGTAGGAAGAGGGCACCTCAATGTAGATAGACTGACTGCATTTTGCGTTCGGATAGCTTTCTCTTGAGAAACAGAGCCTTCAATAAGAGTTTAACAGCAGCATTTACATAAGTCTTTTAGAAAAGAGTCAGAGCCAGTCCATGGCATTTCAAAACTCTCGACAATCTCCAGTCACTAAGAGATTGAATGAGATTATGAGTAGACTAATGAAGGATTAAGAGAAAACTTGGACTAGCCAGCGAGACGACCGTTACTGTTTGATAGAGGCATTGCAAGCTTTGTATTAAGTTCCTGCTTCCTTGCATCAAGCCTTCGTATGGGTACTCCAGGCCGTTTTCAAAGCATCTACGACTGAGCTCGTCGGCCAGGCATGCATTCTCCAGCATATCCATGAAGCCGACGACAGCCTTTTGTTCCCCCTCGTCACGGAAATACTCCCCACACAACGACACCCCGACTCCGGCCGTGACCATTGACGGTTGATCTTTGCGATTCGATATGGCCAAACCGCAAATCTTCCTTGTCGACTCCCTCAGGGTCTCCTCCAACATTTGGTTAGCAGCTTGAGCACCAATGCCGAGCCGTTGGTTCTTGGCGCCGCGCACAGCCAAGACAATTCGCATGAGTTCAATGTATTGGAGCGCCAGCACTTGACAGTCGTTGGCGTGCCACACTGTAGGAAAGTACTCCCCTTTCTCTGGATTTCGCTCCTGGTAGGCCAAGGGCTTGAAGTGAGGCGGCTGATGCGTGTCCCAGTTATGTTGGAAAGCCTCGATGGCTTTCCATTGATCAGCTCGTATCTTTGGATCTTCCGTTTCGACGGTGCTCTCGGAGCTTGCCCCGAAGCAAAACTTGACGACGTAGGCGCACCAGACTAAGATGCGATTGGCCCAGTCAAAGTCGTCGGCAACAGAGTCGGGATCGAACAAGGAGCAGTCTTCGGTACCGTAGAGGGGCAGTCGAAATGGCCTTCGATAGAGAAGAACAGACCATATTTCTTGGCGGAGAGCGATTAGAGTCGCAGAGTGTCGTAAAGAGGGCATAGTCGGCGCGTAAATGTCGAGGCCTCGGAGAGGGTGGTATACGATGCTGCAAAGTCCGATCGTCTCCTCCTGTTGAGCGTGGAAGACAGCTTGGACGGCATTGATGTAGGTTTTGTGATCGGTTCCGATAAGGTGCGCTGTGAAAGCGAGATTAGTCTTCAGGTTTCTACTCTGCCCGGGTCGCCGAATCTCCTACTGTCTACTTGTTCATGATATCGTAGAATCGTAATAGCAGTCAATGCATCATCCGTACAAGGGTTTGCAGGATCAGTCGAAGTATCCATCAGATACGAAATGGACTTGCTGTGATAGTGAATTGCCGACTCTTTGTCTAGATCCGGGAGAGAAATCCCATTAAACTCTATGATTTGATTCAGTGGCTTCTTTGACCAGATCTGGGTAATGAATCTGGATGATGCAGTACAAATTGCGTTCATCAGCAATGGATTGTGCATGGCTCGTTGCGGAACCACAGTTACGTAGTGTCGGTCTCTATCAGTTGTGTCAAACTGTCGAAACTATTAGCAAAGTCAAGAGAGAGATTGAGGCTTCCGAGCAACTCGTCTAGCATCGAAGTACCAACTTACAGCTGCAGCAAGATGTTCTATGAAGCAACGAATAAGGCATTCCTCTTGGAGACCAACGTGTAGCTCCCCACCGAGACTCCTCGATATTGAACACGATCGTCCGCGGGTATCTCCTAGTGGCGGTTGCCATCGTTGGGAGAGAGCACTCAATCTGCTGCTTCCAGTTTCTGGAGTCCTGCGACCCCATCCCTCTGGTACTGACCGGGGGACCGACGGACTGGGAGCTGAGAACCCAGAATACGGAGTTTCTATGGTTGAAGAGGCTGCCGGAGTAGCAGCAAGATTGGGATCAATGGCATCTTCAAACGCTATTTGAGGAATATCCTCAGGGACTATTTCTCCTCTTAAATGCGACTGATTCCTCCGAACTAGAGACTGATGGGATAGGTCCCCCAACTGGTCGAGCGACTCGGATGGTGTCGTGTGGTCACAATGTGGGCATCGAGATGT